TTACTATTTATGCCAAATGACTTACAACTATTTTCCAATTTCAGTCTACCTTTGAAAGACAGATTTTTCCAGTTCTGGAGATAACAAAAAGTAAATGAGGAAGATTTCTGATGCAATTTCAAATGATAGGTTTCAATTTAATTTTGAGAAATAGCTAAATATTGAAATATATACTGAACTTCCCAAGCGAACCATTATGAAAGGGACAATACTACATTACCATCTGCCAATCAGATGTCAACAAAAACAATCTAAACAGAGAAGTCCCTTTACCCCACTTCCAGAAGTTGTCAGTTTGCTGAAGATGTCTAGCAAAGGCGGTTGGTCACTACCTTGAAAGTTCCCAGCCCAAAAGAATTCCTAAGATCTAAGCTAGTCCCTATCTCCCTGGTAATTAGGGGGGATACTCAGGTTAGAAGACAGGCATTACATGCTCCAGATATCTGAGACTTGTTTTATATTTTAAGAGATTCTTTTTAAAATACATTTTATTTTATTTTATCCCATTCCCCCCTCAAGCCCCCTCCCCTCCCTATGTACAAAAGCTTTGTTTCCATTAAGAGATTCTTTTACTGGGCCAGTGATTTAGCTCAGTGGAGCTGCTGCCTGCCTCACAAGCTCAAGGTCCAGAGTTCAATCCCGGGAACAACAACAAAAAAAGAGATTCTTGTACTAAAATTCATCAGCCTCTAGAGAGGTAAGCAACAAATAATTCAAAAGAGAACAAAGATCACAGACTTTTTTAGTCAAAAATGCCACCCGCAAAATTATAGTATCAGTGGTTGCTAAGGACAAATCTAAAACAGGTATCAAAAAATGTTCATAGACCTCAGTGACAGACTAACTGGTGTTCCCTTGAAGCAAAGAGATTTCAAACAAAGCAGAAATAAAAGGACTTTTTTAAAAGACACACTCTCCAACCAATTAAGATTTTAATTTTTTTTCTAAGGAGCTGGAAGTTGTAGCCTACGAAGGCATATTTTAAAAAACTCCCCAAAGAAGTCTGCTCTTTTCCCCAAGACCAAGGATATAACATGCCAGAAACTGTGAGACCAGGATAAATCCAAGAAATTCCATCTTGGCCTGTAGATGAACTCCCGTCGTACCCCTCCCCTTATAAAGTAGATGATTTTTGTAACTGCTTGTTCTGCTTCTGTAAACTTGCTTCATCGCTTCTCGGAAAGAGATAGTGCCTGGTGCCTCCCTTTACTAACTTGACACAGCAAGATAGCAGAGTTGTGAAAAATTACTTTTGCAACTAGTCAAAAACATGTTAACCTCCCCTTGAACTTCTCTTCTTAAAATAACACCTATAAAAGCTATGCTGCTATAACACTCTATACAAACTGTGCTGTTTCTGGACTCAGGGCTTCACTTCACTTAGGAAGTGGAGTCCACGTGCGTGAATAAACTCCTTTCAGTGTTAACTTTGTCGTTGGTCCCAGTGTTTGGTGATTTATCGGCTCGCTTGGCACAACAGAAACCCATTTCACTTTATTACTTTATTCATGGTATTCTGAGCCCCATTCAGAACATCATTCTGAGTGACTAGGGCCCCATCATCACGCCTATTACCCAGAGTAATGTCATACAGTTTACCATCTCACCACATGTACTTACATCCCATTCTTGCTTCACTGCAGTTTTCTTCTTCTTCACTTTCAGTGCTTTTTTTCCACCTCCTCGAGGACAGTAACGGTTCACTCTGACCAATGACATCTAAGAGTAATACCAAAAATTTTAAATACAAAAAGTAATAATTATGCATTACCAGAGGGGGAAAGGACACCTAGGAAAAACAAAATAACTTAAAACATCAGAAGAAAACTTTAAGTATCATAAAAGGAATAGGGTATCAAACTACTTGATTCTTTTATTTTACAGCTAATAGGAAATTGATATAGATACATATAATGAAGTTTCAAGTGAATAATTTAAATTTATTTGAAAGAACTCTAGGAAAGTGGCAATTTAGCAGAGAACTAGGATAGCAGTCATGGTCTTTGTCATTAGTTTCACAAATTCACAATTAGTAGAGAAAATGCCATTATTTTTGCTAAGAGCCAAGCACTAAATATACCAATAAAATAGAATAGCCTATGGCCTGGTACAGTTTGAGTTTGTCACAGGACCACAATTAAACAAGTCATTACAATAAAAAAGCAATGCAAGAAGTAAATTCCCGTGCCATGGAAATACCTTAACTTACACAATGAGAAAAATCTGTCTGCTCTCCCTAATTCTTTCAAAAATGTTTAAGCTGAAAGCTAAAGCATGAATAAAAGACGTGGGAAAGAAAGCATGTTCCAGGCAAGGGAAAAAGCATGTAGAGTTTGAGAAGTTCAATGTGACTTGACAGGGAAACCGGCTAGGGAAGAGGCTAAAAAGAAAGGCAAAGGGACGATGATGGTCTTGTGAGCGCAGCAACTTGAACATGATCCTAAAGACCCTCAAAGCCACTGAAGGACTTTGAGCACTAAGAGTTTAGCAAATCCGCTCTGACTAGTTTGATAAACTAATCAAAAGAAACAAGGGCTCTTTCCAAACACTGTCCCTTCATCAATTCTACCCAGATACAGGTCTCCCCGATGGGTATAGATCTCAAGCTTTTACTTCCTTCCTCAAAAGATTTTAATGGTGCCCCACAGTAGAGAAGAATCCAACCAAGAATCGCCTCAACCTTAGGGACCAATTGGTCTTTCCAGTCTTTTCTCACGTCTCCCACACATCCCAAGACCAGGCTCTGGCCCTCGCACATAAGTCCAACTATTCTTTTCCCTCTGCTTGCAACCCTCTTGCGACTTTCACTCACTTTTCTACGGCTTTACTTCCACAGCTCCTCACAACTCACGCCTTCCTGACGTCCATCGATTATATGATCAACTCTATCCCAAAGTGCGCTGGGTGGACTGTCTCCTGCTAGAGAGTGAACGCTTTGAAGGGGAGAATCCAGCACCCCAGCTTCTAGCTCTGTGCAAAAGCGACCGAGAGCGGTGTGCATGTGCACAGTAAGGTGCTCCTGCAGAGAGAG